GCTTGGTTTGGTTCGGTTCACTTTCCCAGCTGCGGGTGCCCCAACCTCACGTGCGCAGGCAGGCCACGTCACGTTCCCCACCACCCGTCCCCTCCCGCCTGCCAGGCACGAGGGCTGGTGTGAGCACCGGCCCCGGGCACCGTCGGGCGGGACTCCTTTCTGCACCCAGTCGCCCCCGGGCTCGGAACTGTCAGGCTGGCGCAGAGGAGGGTGCCGGGCTGGCACGCGAGCCTGTGAGGAACGCAGACGGGGTCTGTACCCTGCTCCACAGGGGCGTGTCCCCCTTCCCTTGGAGCTGGCTTCTTCCTTCTGTGCTGGTGCTGCCTGGCAGGATCCTGCCGGGCTCCCGGTGGGCGGCTGGCTCCCGCCTCGCCTCAGCTCACCCCCTCTCGTCCTCTCCTCCCTTTCTGCAGCAGGGGCCACTTCGTGAACACGGCCGAGCGCATCCGCCTGCCGGACGACTGCACCATCGGCTACATCGTGGAGGCCCTCCTGGGGGTGCCCCTCATCCGCAGCGGGCTGTTCCACTCCCACCTGGAGAACCTGCAGCAGGTGCCGGCCTCGGAGCTCCACGAGCAGGTGGGCCGCCCGCCGCCCAGCCACGAGCGAAGGGGCAAGCGGGCAGGGGAAGGAAGTGGGGGGAGGAGGGAGCGCTGGGTGGAGTCGGAAGTCGGGAAGGGCCGCCGCCGGGATACCCAGACCCCCCACCGGCGGGACCCTGCTCACATCCCACGCGACCCTCCCACCCTGTGCCGTCTGGGGCTTTTCCTGCACCGGCAGACGACTCTGCTGGCCCTCGCCGAAGTCCCCGCCCTGGACCTCACTCCCGGCTTGTGCGGAGCGGGTGGGGTGGGTGCAGCGTGACTCACGGACCTTCCTTCTTGGTCCGGGGGAGGCCAGAAGGCGAGGCTGTCCTGGCGCCCCGAACCGCAACGGCCGGCTGCGGACAAAGCCGGGGGCGCGGGGGCAGCTCCCGGCTTCACTCTGCCCCTCCCCGCACAGGTGACCCTCAGCTACGGCATGTTTGAAAATAAGCGGAACGCCATCCACGTGAAGGGGCCCTTCTCCGTGGAGGCCGACCCGTCCAGGTGAGGAAACAGGCCCAGAGAGAGAGGTTGTGACCTATGTAGGGTCCCCTAGGGCGTCTGCCAGAGCGGGTGTGGTTGAGCGGCTTGACTACCAAGAGGGCGCCTCGACGCCCTGCTCATGCCGCGGGGCCCCTCCTGGTGCGGCGGGTCGGTCGGACGATGGGTGCTCGGCCCGCCCTCCCCGCACGGACCGGCCCCCTGCTCTGTCCCCACAGGTTCCGCTCCATCCACTGCCACCTGTACCCAGACACGCCCTGGTGTCCTCACACCAGCATCTTCTAGCCGCCACGGCTGAAACCCCGTCCTCGGGCGCCCCTGGTATCCAAAGGGCCCGGGGACCCGTGTTGTGCCGCCCTGGCCTTGGCGTTCGAGGCTCCCCGGGGCTGTGCCTACGTCTGTGTGTGTGTGCCGTGCGCCGGTCCGTGGAGCAGACTGCTGGGCGGTCCTGTTCTGCCAGGGAGCGGGCAAAAGGGCCACTTGTCTGCGTTCCCACGTGCCTCGGGTCAGCGGGCTCCAGAGCCCCATCCCGGAAGCACGTGCCTGCATCGGAGGTCGCTCTGAGGGCAGTTTTCTTACCATCTCGGAGTCTTAGGGCAACATGGGGATTGGGGGCTGCTCTGCGTGGACCTGCAGGCTCTGTGCTGGGGCACCTGCGCCCTGAGATCCTGGCCCCTCCTCGGAGCCCCCGGGACAACTGAGTGTTGCTCAGTGCAGGGAAGCCGGGTTCTGCAGGGGGCGTCCCGAGCCCCCTTCTCCCACTGAGCTCTGGCCCAGGCACTGGGAAGCAGAGAAACAGCACCTGGGTCCAGCCACTCCTGTTAAGCTCCTAGGGGCCGTGTGGCTAGGGGAACAGTGGCTCCCCTCCCGGCCGTCCTGGGTGGGGAGTCTCTCCAGCCCTCTCTGGTGTCTTCTCTTTGTCTCTTCCCACGATGGGGAGACAGAGCTGAGCATTTTATCTCCTCTTTGAAGCAGAGAGAAAGTCGCCCATAGTGGGTGTGTCTGTAAATATTGTGACAGTATTTTTTTACTGTGCTGGTTTCTCATAAGGCGGTGGGTAAAAAGTAGGGTGTTTTGTCGTTTTTTCTTGGGGGGGGGGGCAGGTGTTATTTTATCTTTTCTGTGGATCAGAAAAAGCAGGAGCCAAACGTGAGATATCTTTGTCGTTAAAGCTGATGGAAATGTCTAACACTGCACGTATTTATATGTCCCGGGCTCTGGACTCTCCTCCCCCACCTCGTGCATAGTACCTGTCTCCCGCAGGCCCAGCTTGGTGCACCTGGCCCGTGGGATGTGTTTTGTCTTCTGTTTTTCCTTCTGCAAAGACATAGGTAGGAAAGCGACAGATAATGGGAAAGTTCTCAGGGAATTGAAGGGTGGTTGCTATGGTGACGTCCTTTGCTGTGAATAAAAGTGCTCTTTGGGGCAACCCCAGGGGTCCTGGTTTTGCTGGAAGTTGGGCCTGAGGTGCAGGTCTGTCTGAGGTGGTTCCAGGGGACTGGGGGCTCAGGTACTCATGTGGGGGCGGTGGTGGGGGGGGTGGCTGGATCCACAGGTCTCATCCAGAGGAGCAGCCCTAAGGCTTTGCAGCTGCAGCCTGTGTTGGCCTGGCTCTAGGGGCTGCAGGGAGCCCAGCCCTCCCTGCAGGAGGGCTGGGGGCTTGTTGTGGCCCAGCTCGGACCTCCTTATCTGGCTTCATCCCCATCACAAACCCAGAGACCACGTCCTTGTCCCATTTTGCAGACGGGCGAATTAAGGCTCAGAGCCAGTGACAGCCAAGGTTAGGTAACTGAACTGGGCCGGCAGGGTGGTAGAGACCTCAAACTCAGAGGCCTGGTGGGCCTTGGATCCCGGCCTCCCCTTGTGCCGGGCACCCCACACTCGATGATCTGGGTGCTGGGCCCCCATGCCACCCGGACAGGCCGCAGGAGGCTGGGCCAGGATGTCCCCGGGCCTTGTCTCCTACAACAACCAGCTCCCCGATGACCACTGCCCTTTCTTCCTCAAATCCAGTGGAGGGTGGCAGGAGTAGGCAGGGGCTGGTCCAGCCTCAGCCGCGGCTTCCCTCCCCAGTCCCCAGCAGCCTGGGGACGCCCTTACGCCCTCTTCCTCTTGCTGAGCCCCAGCTGCCTCCGCCCCTCGACTCCAGGTTCCCAGACCTCCATGCTCCCCACTCTGCTCCAAGCTTCGCCTTCTCAACACATCAGAATAAAAAGCGTTTGCAAAGTGCTTCCTTTCCCCACCCCTGACCTGCCGGGGGCGGATGCCAGTCCTGTCCCCACTGGACACATGCCCACATACACAGCACCCCCAAATGGAGGGGGTGGCCAGGGAGGTCCCCGTTTCTCACAACCCCCTTGCTGGTGGCTACTCTGGCCCGGAGGCACCTGGCCGGGGCCTGACCCCACCTTGCCCTGGCATTGGGGATCAGCCTCCCCTGAGCTGGCGGGGCCCTAGGGCATGGGTGTGCCTGTGCAGCCGCTGTGGGGGCAGGCGGAGCCTGCCACAGAGCTGGTCCAGGCCCTCCCTGAGCCTTGGCCTTCATCTGAGACCGGGGAACCCCCGTGCTCTGGGTCTGGGAAGTGGCGCAGAGGGCACGGCCCGGGCCTTCCCTCTTCTCGGGGAGAAGCTGAGGGAGGAGGAAGTTCTTGCTCCCCAGAAGGGGAAGCGGGTCTGGGAGGGGGCCTTACAGGAACCGGCAGCCTGATTTCTTCCACGTGCAGCCCTTCTGGGTGTGGGGAAGGGGCCTTCCCCCAAGGAAGGAGTCAGGGAGCGGAGGAGATAACCTGGGTGGCCTGCCTGGCCAGGCTAGTTACCCCCCCTCCCCCGCACCTCCTGAAGTGCCCGTCATTTGTGGGCTTTCAGAATCCGAAGTAAAACTGCCACCCCCGTACTCCCCACCCCCACCCCCTCCGGCTTCCGCGCTGCCAGGCGGCAAGCCCTGAGCCGGGTCTGGGAGGAGCCGAGAGGGGTGCGGGTGGGGCCCCTCCCTGCTCAGTTTAAACAAACTTCCCTTCACCTGGGGCCATCACGGCCAACTTCCCAAAGAGACGCATGAGAGCTGTGGTCAGGTGCTGGAGACGGAAGGCCTTGCAGAGGTGCGGTGGGGAGAGCAGGCGGTCTGGGTCTCGCACAGCCTGGGCAGAGGTGCGGAGGCAGGACTGATCAGGATGCCTGGAACCTGGGAGGGAGGATGGCAGGGGGCTGGGTCTCCACGGCCCTTCCCCACGCACCTGCAGGCCACCGGGGCTCACCCTGAGGCTCCCTTCCTTGCTGGCAGCTTCGGCCAGTCCCGCCCTCTCTGGGCCTGGGGTGGGGGGGGGGGGGGGGGGGGGCAGAGGGGAATGACCAGAGCCAGCCCCGTTCTTTGTCA